CCATTTTTTCTACCTTTACAAAAAAATTTAGCGCATTTTTTAATTAAACAAAATTTGCAGTAAGAGTACCACAAAGATATCAAAACACAAGTTGAGTGTAAGAGAAGTATATCATGAGTTTCAAATAATAAAGTTGATGTTCGAGGGGTCGGAAAAAAGAGCCACTGCATCCGGCTTAAACATAGATTTCGAGTTATTGTCATCGCCCGTTATGAATATAATTTAAGTGTAATTCCTGAATATAAAATAATGATCGAGTTATTTCGTTTTAGCTTAATGTTACAACGAGAAATCCTGCAGATTCAGAGAGAATCTCTCGAGGTGGATAAGGAAAGGTTACAAATGGAAAAAGAGCGACTCAATATAGAACGCCGTCGTCTTGCAATGGAAGAAGAGCGTTTCCGAGGCTACCAGGAGAGTCAGTTTTATCCACGTCAGTCCAGTGCTACAGTCGGAGGTTCTAATGAATATGAACTCTTTAGCTCTGCTTTTATGAATAGTGCACACATGTGTAATACTGGTACATAAGCTTTGTAATGAGTTAAGAAACAAAAAACAGTGTGTAAAATGTTAGACTTTAAAGTCATTTGCAGTTTTATTTCATTTAGGAAAAACATTCTAATAGAGAGGAATAAATCTTTTCACCCATAACAAATTGAGATCATCACTACGGAAAAAAATAAAGTGTGGTTTTCTGGTATCATTGTCAATCATTTTTCATTATTTAAGACCAAGACGAATCTGATTGAATAGAAATATACAAGTATCGATACATGTGCATATAAATAATTTATGATATATATGAAATATATATGTACATAGGCGTCGTCGGAACCGGGGGTAGGGGTTGCTTAACCCCCTCCACTTTTTGTATTTTTAAGTACCTAAAACCTGTCCCTTATCAACATTTGTCTAATCTCTTGTCCTGAGTGGTCTTGTACATCGCCTGGCATGTCATCATCATCATCATTCTGTTCATCATCGTCCTGCTGGAACTCCACAGGGAGACCTCGATCTTCACAGATGTTGTGCAGCACTGCAGTAGCTGTGATTACTTGTATAGCTGTAGATAGGCATACTGTTAACGGTCCACCTGTGTTACAGTATATTACACATGTTTTACTGATTTGTCTATACGTGAAGTCTAAAATACAGCAAATTCAAGAGGGGGGGGGGGCAAATGTGCCCCCTCTCTTTTCAAATGGGGCTTCCGTAGGGTGTGAGGGTGAGATATAAAGAGGGAGATAAAAGGGTAGCTCAACGAATCTCACGTTTTGCTTAACGTTGGATATCCAATTCAACAATATCTTGATTCAAAAATTAGACATATGGAAACATCCTCCAGGTCATGTAGACCCAAATTTGTTCAAATCTCAATGGAAATTAGAAATGGATTGCTTTTTCATATTCATAATTATGTTGATTACAATATATACTGGTGTCTCATTATATCGCGGTACTTAAAAACTTTTGCATAAAAAGTTCAATTCCAATTTTTTACTTAAACTTTCATCAAATGATATTCATAAACCAAACTATGACCTATCTTTTAAGCATCAAATTATTTCCCAAGCTTGCATCGTTTAATTTGTAGTCTATTTTTAAAACAGGAAGTCTTATTTACCTCCTAAATTGGAGAGTCTCGTAGTATCGCGGTATGGGGAAACATGCCACCTTCTTGTTGACATGGACTTCAATTCTTATTTTTAATTTTACGATATTATTCTACATAAAAAAAAATAAACAATTAAACAAACTAAAGACTTTCAAAACATGAACTTTATCATGCATTTTACTAGATTATAAATTCAGTTGTCTAAATATAATAAAAACGGGAATGGAAATCTGGAAAATTGCGTTTTATTTGAATAAAAACTTTCCTGACGCATGTTCCGTTTTTTGTAATCATCACAAAAATTTACATTCAGACGACAGACAGATAGATTTATGCACAAAAATGATATGAGTTGTGTATATGATTTTTTTTTAATATACCGCGATACAATGGAACCCGCGATATAATGAGAATCGAGTATACATGTACAGGTATATAAAATTTTCTTTACTCTTAGAATATAATTTTGTTCACGCCAGACACGTGACTTTCCATATACTGTATATAAAATGTGTTGTTATGACTATTATATCAGCAAATTTTATGAGGAAAAACAAGCCTTTTAGAAAAGCTCATGCTTGTTATAAACTATAGTATACGAACCAAATTTGTGAATGCAAAGCCACCGACTCTTCCATAGTCCGAACGTATCTTCGATTCTCTGTCTTGCTCTTTTGTGTGCAACATTGAATGCCCTGTCAGCTGGTGTACTTGGAGCCCGAAGAGGAGTGATTAAATATTGTCTCAACGGGTAGGCTTGGTCGCCCAAAAGATGGCCAACATAGGGCTGATTTTCAAACCACACCTTTAGCGAACAATTATTCCAAATATATGCGTCATGTGTGCTACCAGGCCATTGAACAACAATGTTTGTCAGTTTTTTCTTATGATCACAAACTCCCTGAACGTTAATTGCGTGGTACCCTTTTCTACACACATACGCGTCCTCCCTTTTCGATGGTGGTTTAATTTGGATAAGCGTTCCATCAACGCATCCCAATACATTTGGAATGTTAAATTCGCACGAAAACCCCTGTTTGATTACAAGCTGTTCTGCTATTCTCTCAGGAAATTTGATGAATTCCCTTGCCCTATTTGATAAAGCTTTAGATGTTTTGTAGACTATTCTTGAAACAGTTGGCTGGCTTACCCCTGCAATGTCGGCGACTACCTGTTGTAGGGATCCAGTGGCAAAGTACCTCAGGGCCGTCAAAACTTGTAGAGAAGCCGGTATGCTCTTGGACCTCATAGTGGGTGGCTCCAAGTCCTCAGCCAACAAATTTATAATATCTATAATACAATATCTTGGCATGCGGAATCTTACAATCAAGTCTTTATCGTCGTACATATCTAAAGGATGTGTCCGGTCCCTGAAGACCCTTTCTCTTCTTAAATTTCTCTGGTTTAATCTTTGGAATATGACTTGGAACGCCATTTCGTAGTTTCTTGAATAACGGGTATGACGTAAAATATTACGTAACAATCGTTTTATACGTAACTTAAATAACTGAGTACTCTTTGTATACAGAAAAAAAATTATAAATTTAAATAAAAGTATATCGGGAAGAAAGTTTAATCAATTGTATTATTTGATTATTATTTATGTGTTTCCATTTAAATATCACATTATTTATTTTTAAGTATAATTAATTCATTTTGATTTCGTAATTATGGGCTTTGCCCTTTCCGCAACGTTTACGGATGGTCATGACGTCCCGTAACGTACCGCCGATTTTACGGAACGTTTACGCAAAGTTTGCGGGTGCGGTGTTTACGGAGACGTCGTGAATAAGAATTTTTCAACTGCGGGTCGTTTCCGCAAAGTTTACGGGTCCGGAAAGTTTACGGAGGCTTTGTGAATAAGGTCCCAGATGTTGAACATTTAGACAGATCTTCATTGTTCCATAAGTCATTATGTCACAATAAATTGATATATTTAGCCATTTTTTCCCATTTAATTTTTTTCTTAATACTGGTAATATTTTATAAGTTTGGAATGTCTTTCACCTGAAAATTCCCTATCATTGTGGATCGTCCATCTTGGAGTGAAGGGAATTATATGTGGTAGTTAATACTGTGACATTAAATCATAGGAATTTAAGGGTAAAATTACCCAGCTTAGCAAGAGGGCTTTAGATCATCTCAATAAAAAAGAGGATACATCATATCATGTTTCTGTGTTCCCTTGAGATAGTACACAGTTAAAGGATGTGGGAAGTTGCTTGGGTGTAAAAGCTAGCTATAGCTTCACACTGATAATTTTATAAGGGAGGATGTTGGGACAGGTTTTAGACCACCCTTGTGGGGTCTCTTTATAAACTGAGGACTTTTTTCATCCCAATGGGTGGTCTTTGATGTGATATCACAACACAGAAATCGCATCTTCTAACAAATGTTGCAGAATTTGTCCTCTGTAATGAATTTTCTCGAGTAATGTGTTAGTTGTCAAAACCGTAAAACGACTACAATTTGTCAAAATGATTTCGTTTGAAATGTTAGAGATGGGCTTTGTACTTGTAAGAGTTACTAGATCTGTTTTTTTTTCTGTGTATTGCACCAGAGTGATACATTAATGAGAGAGTGGTAGGTGGTCTCTGCACTGCACATATGAATTAATTACTGCATTAATTAATTCCAAGGATATGTGCTGTTATTCCACCTCTTGACAGCCTTAGCTCTGGCAGCAGTAACACTTTGTCTCTTCTTGGTGGCCTGTTAGTGGGTTGAAATGATATTGATTGGTGGGGGGTTGAGCTCAATTATAATTTTTAAGTCTTACATATCTGACAATTATTTGTGAAATATTTGAAAGTTGCCTGATATGTGTTATACATTATATCTCTTAAAACAAATTTGACAATTATGATCTTTTTTACCTTGACAAAAGTGCCCATGAATATTTATCAAAGATTCCCATATAATCATATACATGTAATTGTTTTCTAAAAGTTGTTGGCTAATCAGATAATTGTTTTGTGAAAGTTTTTTGCAAGTGTTAAATGCTCTGCAGTCTAGACATCAATTGTTGCTGCTTCTGGTTGCTTGCCAAGGAGTGAAATGACCGAAGCAACCCAAAATGACACAAGATCCTCAGTGTATTAGAGGAACCAAGATCTCGAATATGCACTAAATGCTCGGGATAGATTGCGCTCTTTGTTCTCACTTTGTGTGCATCTATATCAGCTTTGTGCTTCTGCCAGAAGGATGAGAGAACATGGCAGTTGCACTTTAGAAGTTGTGATGGCAGATACATCACTTCCATTATCAATGATTAAGATCCTTGTCAAATGTTGTTTAGGAGATCTAAGTGTTTGGCTTTTTAAATCTAATAGATTGTGATATTTAGGGTTATTTACAGTCTTCTCCACTTTCTTTTCTTTCACAGTGTCTGGAGAATCGTACTACAAAGCCATAGACTCCCGCCAGTCCCCCAGTAAAGAGCTCCCCACCAAGCTGTTAAAGCAGGACCGAATCAAAGAGAGGCAGGAACTGTCCCAGACCCTACACTACGACAGGGACCATCTACTGAAACTCAAAAACAGATGTGTGGCACCTCAGCCAGGGTAGGTCCACAGAAAAAAAAATCTCATTTTGCAACAGGAGGTTTATGGTCAAATCTTGTAAAGCATTGTAAAACAGGTCATTCTAAAATTTAAGCATAACACAGATGTGCAATTATAACCTTATAGGAAGCTAGGGCACTAGATCTTCATGCAATTTATTTACCTTGATAAAGATCAAATTGATCAGATTGGAGTCAATAAAAACAGCTAGTGACCATTTATATAATCACATAAATTATTATGTGCATTACCAATTGCAATTCTGAATATAAATTTCTTCATTCATTTCATTAAAATCCCTATAAGGAAATGTATTGAGAATGCTGTAGACCTCAGATTTTAATATCTATTTTGCTTCCTTTTAATTTAAGTTAATTTGCTTGTGAAATTCCAAACAAATCTCCTGCAGATGGTGGGGTTCATTTCCAGAAGTGACTACATAATGTGAAGGGTTAATTCTTTAATGTTGTTGTATGCCATTTCTGGTTTATAATGGTCTCTACCTGTCAGCAATGAAATGGCTGCTGATCTCATAAAATATATTCTTATGTAGCAGAATACATTACAACATTTTTACTTCAGCGGCCCATCCCAATGGAAGAAATAAATGTATAAAATGGCATTAAATCACAGGCAAAATATTTTTGGCTTTTCTGTTTTGGAATAAATTTTATGAATGAGGTCATCCGGGGTCTTGTGTTCACGGGTCTCTGATGGTGACGTGCATCACTGGAAATGTGGGTCAAGAATTCTAGAGACAATTTCTGCAAACGTTTTACCTTTTTTTGCAGTATTAAATGGATCTTTAATAATGTGTTAACCACTGGAGTTATAGTGTGGTGTTGATGTATTCATTGAGAGAACATAATCATTATGGCGATAATTAATATTCCTTGAACACAAAAGCAAAATTAGTTAAATTCCAATTCCATGAAAAAAACCACAAATTTTTATTAATACGATCAGGCGACATGCTAAAACACATGGTCATGTCTGCATGATACATGGCATATAATAGGGATATCATGTGTGTATTAGAGGGCTTATAAATCATAATGTGGTCAGAACAGACCACATGAAATTCTGTAAGAGTTTGAGAGATTGACAAGTATGTTGACCACAAAGAAGTTTGAGTCATATATTACCCTGGAAAAAATCCCTCTGAGCATGTCCTAGGGGTCTGACACAATGGAGCACCAATGTAAGAAGCTTGGGTGACTCAGTGGCATGGGAACCAAAGACTTATAAGTGGAATTTGTTCTAAACTGGGGGGTGTTGGGGTAGGGAAGATTGGGGAGGGGACCATGGGGAGTGGTTGAAATTTTTTTTAGGGTAGGTTTTTAAATGCTTATTAATCAATATATTTTTTGAAACACAGTTATTAAATTGAGCATGTTGAGTATGATGCACCTGAAATTCAGACTGTACGTATTTTGAGTTAATGATACCTGATATATATATTGATATTTAGTAATATTCAAATTGTTTGGTTGATCAAATTCTACTATTATACATGTTACATCCTGTTGTCTATACTAAATGCATTTCTTATGAGACAATTAAAGGAAAGTTTAGAATTAATAAAGAAAATATAGTAGGGTTTAAATATTTTTGCGTAGGCAGGGTGACAGACAATTTTTGTACATTGTCTGTATTTTGGGTAACTCGGTGAGGTATATCCTTGGGTTTCAGTCTCGGGTCTTTTTCCTTCCTTTATTTATATATAAATAACGTAAAGTATTCTTATTTTATCCAGCCACCCTGAATAGAATTAACATTTTTTACAACAACCCACCTGTGTAATCCCCAAAACTAACATTCTTATTGGTACCTCAGATTGCCGTATTTTGAATGTAAACATGCTGCATCCTTAAACGATTGTATTGGTACCATATTGTATCGTAGATGCTCGGTATGGATAAGTAGGCCATGTTTATAAGGGGGCAATGTCACATATTGTACCAGCCCCGCAAAGCTGGTTTCGACGAGGTGGATAAATATTGTCTTGTCCTTTCGACCAGATGTTCCGCTGTAATGAATATTTAGGATTTCAAACATTTTATATATTTATCTTAAACATTACATTTTTTTTCTCCAAGGGTCTGTTGCTTTAAGAATTTATAAAAAGAAATGAACTGAATGTCTACATTATATTGCTTTCTAAGTATGTGAGGTCTTGAAGGATCTTAGGGATTATTAAGGTCAAAGTATGACCACACTGGCAGGTGGGAGATTGTGGTCAGTTGTATTTAACTGACTGCTTATCATCTGTTAATTACCAAACTATACAAAATTACATTTTTTACATGCATCATAGGCTGTATAATAAAACACTTATTTTCTCCCAGTGAAGATTCCAAACCTAACCCACCCCCACCCTAGAAACTAATACACGTATACCATATCACCAGTCGGCGAACTTGCAAAGAGTTCACTGAGTACAAGTAGGTCTTTGAAAAAAAAAGTCTAGGTCAGATTGTTCCCTTACACCCTGGTACTCAAGCTTCAGTTTTGGAAAAGTCCCAGCCATTTACGTTAATTAAAGAAAATGACTCATTCATACTTTGAGGACGGTCCCAATGCAAATGCATGTGATTGTAGGCCAATTTTTCGTGGGTTAGTTTTTCTGAGATAGAAAAAGGAGAAGTTGGTTGGGTAAAAGTCCTTATTAAGTAAGCTCATTTCAAGATCTTTATAATGTAGGTTCGTTTAAATTTGGATCAGAGGTCTGTGCCAAGTGTATCTATTTGCCAAAAAGTAATTGATCATTATCATGCAATACCTTGACACCATATAATACATGCACAAAATCGGGATTTTAAAAAAAAATCATACGATTTGTAGAGCAGTCTGGGAAAGTTTGACTTTTAGGGAACAATTTGATGCATGTGATTGCATGTTTTCTAAGCGCTGTGGCATAATTTCTCATGTAATAACCAGCACAAGTGGTTGTTTTGCATTTGGCATGAATGATAGCTCTTCAGAAAAAAAGAAAGGGGGTAAATTAAGGATGGTGTGAACCATCAGAAGTTTCGGTTTTCACACAAAGTTACAAAAAACCTCGTCGAGAGAACAGTCATTAACCTGCTCAGAACTAGACATCCATTCTTGAAACATGGATTGCGCTTCCCTATTTCTGCCGCTGTGCATTTTATGCACTGCGCAATCTGTGCAGCAGTTTGGCAGAAGAGGTTGTGAGTCACGGCAAAAAGAGAACAGGTGTCTCCTGACTGAGAAAACACCGTCTTGTTTACATTATGCATTATGGGTGCAAATAAAAAAAAAGAGATTAATTCCGTCTCACATATAAGTATGTTAAATGAACTTTAAATCATTGAGCTGAATACACACTCTTTTTGAAAACCCTACACTAAGCCTATACTGCTGTGAGGAGATTGTCTATTGCGAACAAGGAGTTCTCTTTTTTTTCTATATGTTTGGTTTTGCGATTTGCATTTCAGGGTACTTATTTTCCATTGACAAAAACTTGGCTAACTAAGGCAGTATGGGTGTAGAGATTAGCAGTGTAAATGAGTCACTTTTCTTTCTTTCTCTCTTTGTGCCAGGAGATTTGCTATCTATACCTGAATTAATTATCTTGTTCATCTGGGTCACCTTTTACTTCTGCCTTTTGATGCCGTGTCTCCTCCCAAGACAACTGGAGTGTTCTGTATCCATTGTAATGAAGAGATCTCAGGTCTCTCTATTGAGGGAAGACTGTACCCATTGACTTATCGGGCACCTGATGCATTCGATAGAATCGTATTTATTTAAGAGAAAAATACCAGGGTGCTGCAGAAAGTTTTATATTCAGACTTTAAGTTATTAATAATCAGTTATGTTGGTATAATTGTATATTGAAATGAAAATGCAATTGGAAAATTTAATAAAGGTCACTTTTGGGGCTTAGAAATATTTTCTTAACAGACTGCTGGCCTCTTTTTCATAGCTGATCATACAAGATCATAGTCATAAAACACATGATTTATCAACAAACAAATGGAAAGATCGATATACAGCATATTCTAAGTAAAAAAAAATCTTAGCTTTTATATGAAGTTAAGGCGGATTACATCAGAAATCAAACACCTGTTTAATGTTTCAATTATGATTTAATGCAGACATTTTATTGTGTTATCTTCTAGCATTATTATATTCCCCCCAGTATATTGTCAAAAACATTGATGAATCCATTTTCAAAAATATTTTTCCTATGGCTTAACAGATAAGATTAGTGAAATCCAAATAAATGACTCACATCTCTGCAAAAATTTTTTTTTCGATTTCTTGGAAATACATAAAAGTTATATTATTATAATGTAAAGAAAAATCATTTTGATTTTAATTAAATTTTGATTAGTGGATCTTTTTAAAATTTTAATTCATATTTTTTTTTTCTTTTACAGGCAGCCGCCAGTAGAAGGAGAAGTGTACAGAAATGGAGACCATCATATTTCCCCGTTGGATTCCTACTCACTCAGACGACACTACATACTCCCACCCCCGGGGCCGATCCGAGACCCCCGGGGATCTCCCCCCAAATATTCCTCCCTAGAATCCCATGATGCTCCTCTGAATCTCTCGTTGTCCAGCTCCTCGCTGCCCTCGACATCTTCAGCTTTTTCCTCACAGATCCAGCGGCCGTCGGTAATCACGTGCGGTCCCACGGCCACGGAGAGGGGCGGTCACTATAGCAACGCCTCACCCCCTCACACCCCTCAGGCTGTGGCCAGTCCCAAAAGTCGACAGGTCATATCAGGTGAGAACAAAACTCTGAATTTACGTATCTGGAATTAAATAAATAATCGTCTAATTTTGGCTTTGTTAGTGTGTGGCTAAGGGAAAGAAAGTTGTAGAATTTAGTGCCATTTTTGCACTTTTATAGATTTAATGGCTAAAAAAGTTGTTTTTTTTTAAGTGCCTATTTATGGAGGATAGCAAGTGTATATTTAACATGTTCATTACCCTTTTCGAATCTTACAGGCATGTCTATGAAATGAATTGACCTAAAATTTTATCTTGACATCTTTCTTAAGAGAACTTTGCTTAAGAGAACTAGCTTAAAGTACACCGTAGAATTTAAAAATCTTTTTTTGACCTTTGCCTACTGAAAAAACAGTTTTGGAAATTAACTTCAAAAAGTTCATGTAGTTGTCTACATTTGTATTTCGGAAGTAAAAATTAATGTTTGGTGTTTTGTTCATTAGTTTGTATGTCGTGTCTGGGTTGATAATATACTTTTATATTCTGATAAGGAAATCATTCTCTTGCATGCAAGGCCTATCAGAATGTACTTTCTGTGCAAGCTTGAGTGATTCATGATTTGTGTTTTTAGTGTTTCATTTTACTAGCATAAATTTTTAATTCAATGAATGACTTTTTCTTGTGGCCAGGTCAACCATGTGACACACATGTAAAGAAGGGAGCTTTTTTACCTGCACTTTAACTCTGCCATAAAACTGCTGTTTTAGATATAATACATTGTCATCCCCCTTCATTTCCGTGACCTACAAGAAAAAACATTTTGTAAAACTACTTAGATTACGTCAAACGCACAGGTGATCGAAGGAGGGGAAGGGAAAAAAGTTCATTGGTCACGTCAAGTGGTAAAACTTCAACATGACAAAGGCAGATTTACATATCAGATATTTTTGTACCCCATATTTTTGGAGGTAGCTAAATGGCATGAAAAAAAAGTGTTCATTATAGTAAATGGAGGGTCTTTGTGTTAAATGATAGCCAAATAGCTTCACACATGTATAAGATTTCCTCTCTTTTGCTGCATTTTCTCACTATTTTTCACAGCAAATACCCAGGGAGCACTTTTTTTAGGGAGGAAATCGGAAACATTTAGATCTTCTCATGGCGTCTGGAAACTTGAACATGGCCATTTAGCAAACAAGAGACTGTAAAGCCTCTTTCAAACTACTGGTACACAATCTGCATTTCAATGTATGATCTTGCATATATATGCGTGGATACATGTATTTAGATGTGCAATATCTAGGTCCAGAAAACGTTAAACGTATTTTTCTGTCATGATTGGGTGGAGCATTTTGCACTTGTTTCATCCCAAGATAAATTTCCGTGATTTGTAATCCAATACGTTTCTTCATTTGACTTCCAAATAAGCAAATTTTTTCTTTCTTATTTAAACAACAATCAATGCTACTCTTCAGAGAAAAACTTTGATAAGTGAAGAGATGTGTTGGTGTTAGACCCTTTCAAATTTATCTTGTTTTGATACATAGATATAAACATTTAACAAAAAAGCAGTTGATAGTTAAATTTTAAACCTGAACACCTTTAGAACTTGATCAAAAAACAAATCTTATGTAGTGATAAGACAAGCAGATTTGTGTGTCTGATATTATTAGCAACTGTGCCCCAGGGTTGCGAAGGTCTCGCAAGGTTCTATCACATCCGAGACAAATAAGCACCCTTTACATCAGCGTTCAAGCATAGACTACCCACACAAAAAAATTGGGGGCTTTATTTTGTCGCAGGGTATGATCAAAAGGAAGGGAGGATAATTAAAATTTACCTCTTCAGATTCGGTGATAATGGGTCGTAATTTGTGTTAGTGTGTCGAGATCCCTGTTTATTTCAATGAGTATGTAAATAAATAATTGTGTGGTGCGCAGCATTATTAAAGTGCCTTCTCCCCCAAAAAATACTAACAGAGCACTTAATACGTTTTTAACCAGATATACAGGGTGATAGGGAAATTTAAACACCATTTTCATTTTAGAAAATTTCCATTCAAGGTGTCATTTCTTAAGATGGTCAATCATCGTTAAATTGAAACAGGCAATTTTCATTTTTTTTATCAAGGCTATCAAAAAAATTATAGTTATTGGATAGGAAAGGAAGAAAGGTGTATATACTAGAAAAGTCCCCCTTTTGTGGTTTAAAATTTTCTTTCCAAATCGTATAAGGGTATCAGAGTGTAGTTAATTCAGGCCTGAAAAAAGGGGGGGAAAGGGACACGATTGTTCCTCAGCTGAATGCTGCGAACGCATTGACTTCCCTTATCGTTAAACTATCAGAGAAAGCTGGAGTCAGTAAATTGTTCGACAGAGTCCTCGACCATACCATGGGGCAGCCACTTTGTATAGTTCACTCATAATTTGGTGTTGGGTACTCCCAGCTTTTGAGGACATTAAGACATTTAAATGGGATTGCTAATTTTTATTTTTAATTCGTGTCAGCAGTCAGTTTGCTAAGTACGTGTAAAAAAAAAAAAAAAAGTGAAGGTGAATTTGAAATATAAGGATCTGAATTTTTTTTTTTTGTAGTTGAATACAAAAAGATGATACTATCTTGTTTAGTTTGTACTTTTTTAAAATGACATTTAGTGTACTACACAGCCCATTCAGTATTATATCTTTGACAACAGGTGTTTGCGTAAAACGTGTATAAATTTGTTTTTTCAATTAGGCCTTTTTGTAAAATAATTAAACACATTCAGTAGTGAAATGCATATACATTGGATCAAAAAATGCGAATGGTTGGACGATTTTCAGACAAATTCATTCAAAACGTATCAGATGACGTAGTTTCCTAAATTGATATTCAATTTTTTTTGTTGACAAGTTTGCAATCTTTGAATCTGTTATTTTTTGTGTTCATGGTCAGCTTATTGATTGGTCAGGATTAGATCACATGACCATTATCTTAGTGCTTTACTGAATGCAGGTTTTTCTCTATTGGTGAATAGAATAAGTAATGTGGTGGGCAGGTTTTTTGGCAACGTTAGTGTTTTGCTTTGAGAATGAGTCATCAAAGATATTGCTCTAATTAACACACCGATTTAATCACTTTAAAACACATGCACAAACAGCAGTGCCCGAATCGACCTTAAATTATCAGTTAAAATTTGATGGAAAGCATAAACTTGGAAAATTGCAAAATGCATGTGCAGACAAGAAGAAAATAATTTCTCAATTAAAACAGTACAACTGCCTGTTTGCTTTTCCAAATGAATGATGATAAATTTCTTTAATGAGCAATGATTAATCGCAACCTGTAGAAGCCATCACAAGCGGGGTCGTAAATTAGGGGGAGGGATCTCTGTTAGAGCCTGTTGTACGTACACATTTGTCAATTTGGAATTTAATGTAAAGACATGATGCTTGTAAATGAAGAAAAACTGAAAGTCTTTTCCATTTTATGTGGTTAACAGCGAGATCAAAGGGCTTTCACTCTAATTCGGAAGACTGTTGTGTCATTTTCGTGTGTTTTGGAGATGAGTCATATCTCTGCCTAGTCACTTTTATGTTGTTGAGCGATTAGTTCAAATTTGTTAATTGTAACACAGGGAAAATTACATGATTACAAATTCATTCATGGCTTATTGTACAAAAAAAAATCAGTGAACATGCAATAAAGGATTTCAGATCTAGTGCATTTTTGCACAGAGTGCTATTTTTTACAAATGACTTTTTTTTCCTGAATATAATAAAAATTTAGTGTTCAGATCCTTCAAATATTCATTATCTGCTAACATATTTGATGAATTCTGAAAAAATAATATTGAAACTGGGTAACCAATGAACTTGAAAAGCTTTATATTTGTGTTTTTGGAAACTTTTATGAATGAAATATTTCTTGCTTTTATTTCTTAATCAAGCTTTGATAGTGGATTTTTTCACCCAAATTTTATCGAATTTTATCAAAGTTCCAACTGTCATTTATCTTCAGAAACCCAAAGGATTATTTACTCTAAAAAATGTAGAAAAACCTGTTTCTCTGAATTTATCATCAGAATTGATAGAGGTTTAGGGAAGGTGCATGTTGTGTAGCAATTGTTAGCACTTTAGTAGACACCAATGGATATCTTACAGATTCCTCAGGGTTTATCAGTGTGTTTCTACAGCTCAGGAAACACTGAAGATGCAGCAATAAAATTCAAACTATTCAATATTTTGAAATCGTTACCAGTGGTTCTGTTGACTAACGTGCATGAATTCGTTATCTGAGTTATGTTTTCTTTGAGTTGAAGGAAATGGACAGGCCTCAATTTAGCATGGAGTTTGAAAGATAAATTGCGTGATTTTTTTGCATATCAATTTTTCATCTTTTGAAAGTTTTTGGGAGTTTTCAAACAGTTTAATGGCTAGGTTTTTTAGAATATATTTCTACTTTCAAAAATTATATAATGGATATGTTTGGAAAATTGGTGCATCCTCCTTGAATAGAGAAATAACCCTGACTTGAACACAGTATATCTTTTTCTACCAGAAGATTTGCATTGCTTATAAACCCTTCTAAATAGCATATAAAGTTAAAACATCATACTGAAGTATACAGGAAAAATTTTCACCCCTGTTTTATTTTGGCCACTTTCACCCTACCCTTGGTTGGGCTGAATTTAAAATGGGGCAATTTCAAAGAATATTAAAGTATAATTTCTTAAACAGTTCTATGAATAGGCAAATTTAAGATGTGAAGGGGCGAAAATAAAGCAGGGCAAAAATAGCCCTGTGTACAGTAACCTAATATGAGTGCAGTATACATAGTCATTGGTTACGTAGTACATACATGTAAATTTAATGTAGCAATATTTTCTTGTTGTAGCAGGATGTGAGCCAGACATCGAGGAACACTTCAGAAGGTCACTAGGAAGGGACTACATGACCTCAAACTCCCCCAAACTCGTAAACCCCCCTCCTCCTCCCCCTCCACCCAAAGTACCCACACCCCCGGTAGAGGTCGCTAAGACAACACGGAACAGTGCCTCACCCCCCAAGGAAGTGGATAAGAATAACCCAGCTAATGTTTCCATCACAGGTACGTCTGGAGTTATGTACTACTAGATAACACACAAAAACATAACAGAATGGGAAGATGGTGGTTATGTAATAGAATTTCTTCATGCTGAGAAATATTTCATCTTTTTATGATGGATTTTTAAATCGGTTGATTGAAAGACTTTGGTAGAATTAACATTAAATTTGGTTCTTTGGATGTTGTTTTCTCTTATCCTCAGACTAAAAAGCTTGACATGCATCATGAAATCAAAATCTATCAGCTTGAATCCTTTTCTGCAGTCTTATGTATTTTGAAATATTTCTTTTTTAGGTTCAGTAGATGATCATTTTGCGAAGTCTCTCGGCTCAAACATGTGGTCAGCCCTGAAGAAACAGAATGACCCAGAAGTTGGGACCGTGGATGACCACTTTGCCAAAGCCCTGGGAACCAGCACCTGGTTACGAATCAAGAAGGAAAAGGAAACAAATGGTGCCCCCTCCCCTCCTTCGTCGCCACAGCAACAGAGACCAAACTCATCCCTCGTGTCCACATGATAGAAATGGTGGTGAGAATCAGACACAAAAAACTGTACACTGCAGCATGGGATTCGAGTGAATCCCATAAACTTTATACCAGTACTGCCAAGGGACAATCCCTCTGAATCCCATTCAGTGGGATCAGAGATAGAAGTCATTCATTTTGACTATTTACAGACACTCTTTGTGCTTATTTTACGTACTGTGTGAAGATGAATTCTTGCACATCAAAATCTGAGCAGATGAACTGTGGACAGACGAGCAACCTGCTCAGTGTTTTTGTGACACTGTGTGAAAAAGGACACCTTGTGCACCCGATTTACCCTGGTCCCTTACTTGTACTGATACCAAAATTGTTCTAGCACATATGGCAGTTTTCTGAGCTTGTTTTGCTTTCTTATTTTTTTTTTTATCCCATTCTGATGGCGATGGACAAAAAAAAGGTGACACACATCTACGCATGCTCGAGCTCTGATCTCTCCAGGCCAGCGGATGGGATATTCCACAACTTTTTTGGTGCTTTATTTCCTCTTGCTTAATGAAAGAAAACTTTATTTTTTGTTTCTTTTTAAGACGAGTGTTTCTGGTGCTCAGTATGTTTTTTTCAGCCATGGTCTGAAAGTTGCTCACAATGTACATGACAAGAGTGGATGTATAGCATAGTGAGGAGTTCTTGATGATATGCATACATGTAGATATTTGTTTATACAAGTGGGTAAATATTTTTATTGCATCTAAGTGTGGGATGTTATTGGTTGAAGAATATATTTTGTTTTTCATTTATGATTTACTGTATGAAAGAAGTTTTTTCTCATTTCTTGCAATTTTTTTTTTTTTACATCCTAGTGTTTGATTGAAGATTCTTATTTCAATGACCATATTTTTTTTTTGAATGCAGAAAAGATACATTCCATCATTATTTTTGTATGTTTTTGTGTGCATGTGGGTGAATATGATTGCAAGGTTAACATTGCCGCACGAGTGCGACACGTTATTTGTCAAAACGCATCTCATCAGGCAAGCATGCTTCCTGTAAAGGTCATCAGGGTCACGAGGCATGTCAACACAAAATGGGAGGAGGTGTGTGTTTACATAATACGGCAAGCAGACCATGTCTAAACAATCGAGCAGCAATGACTAACAAATGATCTACATATTTAAAAGTATGATGAAATCTTTTTTGGCAGGGTCATTATTTTTCTATTGGCAGATGGGTGATTTAAGACAAAGAGAACTAGGCAAATGATTAGAGGAATTTTAAAATGTGAAGGACTGTAGTCGTTACTGTCGTAAATTTGTAATTCAGATGTTCGACACACCTGTGTTATTTAGGTATAAAATATGTACATGTAAATTAATTAATTTGTTATCACTCACTAGAGAGCTTATTTCCCACCTATTAGATGTATAGGTAGAAAAATTTCATTGGATAATTACTTTTTCAGTCATTTGTCAGTTTTTAATTATCAGTAGAAATGATGGCCAAAAACTAGAAAAACATGAATGAGGGGAAAAAACATTCAATTACAAAAAATCCATCTTTTTAGTCTTGCCTTCTAGGTATGAGTGCTGACTGTGCTTGAATGGGTTATGTGGTAATATGAATGAGGATGGAGAGGTATAGATGATTGTTGAGATAATTATGGCAGCTTCTGAGGCTGAGTTTATGTCATGGGTGTGTGACAGAGTGTAATGATAAATAAGTGCACCACAGTGTATGAAGTAATGGTAGGTGTCATTTGTTTCTTTGTTACCATGGTTCCACTTTTTGCTTTACGTTGTGTATTATGTTCAACTTTGTTGTCATGTTTAGTATTTTTGAATTTATTGAGAGAAAAATATAAGATAGAGAAAAAACTATTGTGATGAAAAAAATGAATAAAATTATATTTGAATATAACCATGTTTTCTTATTTTTTATTTTACTTTGGTTCATTTTCTGCATCTATATAGGAAGACTTGTCAAGGGGGATAACCCTGGAGATAGCCTGTTTTTCCAGATATTTTTCAAGAAACTAACATATCCCATGTGGGGGCTTTAGTGAAATAAAAAGTTTCAAAGTTTTAAAGATGTGTCGGAAAAAGATCCCCATTTCATTGACTGAAGAGGGGAAAGGGATGAAAGTCAAACTGACAACTAGATGTAACTATTTATAGGTGTAGGTCTTAAGAGATTCTTGATTTGCTCTCTCAACCATTAACTTGGCTACTGTAAGAAAATACAGCAAAAGTAGGTGAAAATCCAATTGCAATGTAAATCTGTCACACGAAACTGCTACAAGTAAGATATATGTATCTATTTGAACCGATTTTGCTACTAGGATTTGAGAATAATTTGGGGGGGGGTGTATTTCTAGCATTTATGTCAAAATTAATATGTAGGTTTAACAACATAAAATTTAGAAAATGGAGGAAATACATGTATTTATTCTGTTAAAAATTTTTAAACATACAGTCAGAGTTTCAATCCTTCATTATGTGAACTAAAGAGCCGTTTTGCAGTTTACAACATCTTTGCAAGCGAAGAGTTTCTAATCCTTACTCTCCCCTTTTAACCTTTTGCTAGCAAAGATTCTTTTACATGGATGTGGAAAAATTTCAAAGGAATGTTATGTAATCTACTATTTACAAAACCAAAACCGGGAATCCAGTGAAAAAAAATCTTTTTTTCAAATGATTACATGTGTATGTTAATTTTTTCCTGGTAAAGTATTATTAAATCAATTTAATGTTTATTTATAAAAGACAAAAAAAAAAAAATAACTTATCTTCTTTTTACAATGTATTTCAAACTTTTAACTTCCTTTTAAAGACAAAAAATAAACAGTGAATTTCTTTTTTTCCAAAGTGGAACAATATTTTGGAACGGATAAGCAAATCATCGGGACAAAATCGTACGTTGTTGGTGCGCACTTCTTTATTTTCTTTTTTGGCAGAACGAGAATAAATTGTGAAATTTTGAACAATTATTCACATACGTGAAAAGATAAGCACGTTGTTTAGTTAACTTTTTACAAAGTTTTGTAAACTCGAATTAACTTAACTTTTTTTTCTTGTAAAATGTATCCAATATAGTAACATTTCTGTTTGAAAAATACGTCCATTAAGTGGATTTCTAAATAGCAATTTTGGCATGTTTTTCTCAAGCAAATAGGAAAACAAACCCAGCATTTGTTCTTTAAATTTACGAAACGAAAACATTTAGAAGTTGGTATGGTAGAAAGATTTCGGTTTCAGAATTTGCCTCAAGGTAGCCGATGCACTCCGAAGGAAATTCATTCTCTACATTTTCATTTCAGTATAACAGATTGCGAGTGACATGATTTTATTCAGTACATGTAATAAATCAACAAAATTTAAGTAGGCTCCTTACTCAGAAGATGAACATCTTGTGTCACCCTTAACAGGATGGGGATTCCATGGTAAAATATCTTCTCCCAGAAACCTGGGTGATTTCAAAATCATCTGTTACATTACTAATAAGGAAAAACTGTTTTTTTAATGAAAAATGTCCTTTCCTAAGAGACCACCTAGGTGATATACAGAATTATATAAGTGTTATTTAAAAAAAAAATCTTTTTAATTTTTATCTTATAAAATTGTCGTACAGTACTTTACAATGTGAATGTTCCTTGTCTTAATTAGGTTCTGCCTACTATACTTTCATTTAACAAATAAAATATACAACATGACTATATTTGTGTGCATGTTGTTTGGTAGGCATTTATCAACTATATGAGAATTTGATAAGAAACATTGATAATCCAGATTAACTCAGATTCAAACGTTCCCGGCCTTCAAATAGTACATTGAACGGCAATGTTTCAAAGCTGAGAAGAACCCCCCCCCCCCTTTCTAATTCATTTTTAAGTTCGCCTGAGACAAAGTCTCAGATATTTCAGTCTTTTCATATACAGATGTACTTTAACGAAACTATACACAAAATAACCAAACAACAAAATGAAGATACTGATGATTTTTATCTTGCCATGACAAACAATTTTAGGTGATTTCAATCTCCACACGAAATGCGAGAAGAAAATTGATTTCCATTGGAAAGTTAAAAGTAAAAACATAATCATTAAAATCGCTTCAGTCAATTTAATGCTTACGACAATCAGTGGCAAAGATGAGTTTAAAAAAGATTTTAATCTCTGAAAAACACTTTTCTGTGCGGGACTATTAATTAAGAGATGACGGCAAACAATCAAGTTTCTGTTATCGTCTGCCCACGCACCTTTGCTTGCTGAAGTGCATTTTAGGTTGTCTTTGTTACACGATTCATAAAATAAGCAGAATTTAAAGGAATACATTAAAAAAAATGATTTTCATTAACATGCAAATAAGTAATTGTTTCTATGTTGAAGGTCCCAATCAAGGCTCAGGGCACTTCCTCTGAATTTAAGAGGCTTGGTGCTTAATTAAAAGCAAGATACACCTGCATGTACCTCTTGAGAAGGAAACAAGTGAGCAAGAATTATATTGATGGTGATTTTAAAACTGTTTATAATCATCAAATAAAATATACTTCATATGTGAAACAAGATGTTGTGAAACACTATGCGCCCGGCGGCAACAAAGTTCGAAGAAGCTATTTTTAGCATATAGGTCACAGTCAAGGTCGAAAGGTCAATGATCTTGGTGTTATTTGCCACTAATTAAGCTCTTACAAATGACACCAAGGTCACTGACCCTATGACCTTGACTGTGACCTATATTCTTAAAAATCTTTTTCGAACTTTGTTGCCGCGGGGTGCATAGTGTTTCTCAAACACATATCGTTTTTTCAATAAAAATAGGTCAAACTCTTAGGTCAAGGTCAAAAGGTCATTTTTTCCCCATTGAAAGATCTTGTCTCATTGAATATACATGTGAAGACTGAAAGCCCTAACTTCATCAAAAGTTATGGCCAGGCGTAATGCTCGAAAATATTTGGCAAAAGTTAGTCATGTTCCAAGGTCAAATTTGGTGGTATCCGAAGAAAGGTCTTGTCACAAGGAATACACCTGTGAAAAATGAAAGCCAGAACCCCACCCACATAAAAGTTATGGCCAAGGTAATTAGTTTTTGAGGACAACAGGTAGACAGAGAGACAGACGGACGAACAGAGCAAAATCCATATACCCCGGAATCTTCGATTACGAGGGCATAAAAATGATGGCAGCAGTTTGTCTGAAATAAGTCCAAAACCTTGTACGATTCCCCCCCCCCCCAAAAAAAATGGCCAATTTTGCTTTTCCGCGCTTCTGTTATACTAAATACTAGTAGGTACTAGGAATTAAGAGCTGTAAGGGGGATTAAGTGGTTGTCTGAAGGAATTTGTCCAATATTGTCCTCTTTTAAAATTATTGTTCTATCTTTTGCGTACACGCAAGGACGTTAAATCTCAATTCTCTGTCTACACCATCATTATGATTCTTGCTCACTCTGTCTACTTTGTCTGTCTGTCCGTCTGGGTGTCACAGATACAGTACTTTAACCTTGGTTTAACCTTTAAATGAACTCGAGCTCATGACCTTTAATTTGAAATTTAACCAACTTTTCAAACCTTCACCATAGTTACTGAATGAGAGCTTTCATATTTCACATGTGCATTAACTGCAGCAAGAAACCTGCAAGTACACTATAGTATTGAATTGAGTAACGTAAGCGGTCTATCATCTCATTGACCGGTCCAACACCTCACTCAGCGGTCAAACATCTATTCTTTAATGCCCGCTCAGCAAAACATTAGAAATGTTAAAATTTTGTGCCCCCTTAAACGAAGTTTCGGGGTTATATAGTTTTTGTCTGTCGTTTACCGTCCGTCCAGCTGTCTAGGTGTCTCTCTGTTTGTCTGTTTGTCCGCAAAAACGTTAACCTTACCCATAACTTTTGATTTAGTGGAGCTATGACTTTCATATTTCACATGTGTATTCCTTTTGACAAGACCTTTCTTTGGGTACCACCAAATTTGACCTTTTGGCCTTGACCTTGGAGTTTGACCCACTTTTACACAAAAATACCAAACTTTAACATTGGCCATACCTTTTTAACGGTAAGGGCTAGGGCTTTCACACTTTACATATCTAATTCTTGTTAAAAGGCCCTTCAGTGGAAACCAAGAACTTTGACCCTTTGACCTTGAACATGGAGTTTGACCTACCTTTAAAAAGCAACATTGACCATAATTTTTAAAAGGTTAGAGCTAGTGCTTTCATACTTTACATATTTAATTCTTGTGACAAGACCTTACATTTGATAGCAGACCTTTGATCTTGACCTTGGAGTTTGATCTACTTTTTAAATTTTTTAAACTCGGCCATAACTTCTAAAGGGTTAGGGCTAGGGCTTTCATACTTCACATATTTTTTGTAGCAAGACCTTACATTAGATACCACTTACCTTGATGTTTTGACCTTGACCTTGGAGATTTCCGTACTTATGATAAAACTTTAGCCTTGGCTTACTTTCATATTTCACAATATTCAGTGAGAGTACCCTTCTTTTGGTATAAATCTACTTAATTTATATTTAAGAAAAGTTTAATCTTCGCTATGTTGCCATGCGGGGGCATCTATGTTTCACAAACACATCCTTTTTTTTTTTTTGGTGTTGTTCTGTGATCAAAACAAGAAATGTTTAATAGACCAGTATCTAATTTATTTATTGGCATATTTAATTTTATTTTAAGTTAATTATGGGGAAAATACAGTTTTTGACAGAAATGTGAAATATAATACATATTTGACTCAAGCTGTTTGTTGAATGTCAGTATAAAACGATGGTTTTGTGATAGTTTTTTTTAAAAGAAATAGTATATACTCTCAAAAGCAGAATGTTGTTTTCCGAAAATTATAAAACTAATAAAGATTAAACTAAGTTTTGCTCTTATGATTACGTACACTCCCTAAAACCTTATTTTTATGGTAATTCATTTTGAGTGATGTTGTACATGTGTTTCATAGAAGGATAGAAACAAAAAGTTTTCTCGTAAAATATAATATGTAAAAATATAATTCAAATATACCAATGGATGATCTACGTATGAACAATTTCTAATGCCAAATTATTTAAAGTCATCATTTCGTAGGTTCTATGATCGATACAATGACCTTGACAGCAATTACAATTGATCATTGAGTCAAATGCTGACTGATGTTTTTCACACTTGTAGTCAGTCCATTATTTATACACTGAATTGCATGACGACGGATTTTCCCGTTATTTCCTGATCATGACAAGGAGTACACGGCGGTAGTGACGGGTCGGCATGGGATGCTCACTCCTCAATGGCACCTGATCCAACCTTTGATGTATATATCTTTTTAGTATATACATGTACAGTTGGATACGTCATTTTTAAAGCGTGCATAAAATCGAATTTCCGTGACATTCTAGTGTATATGAAGCAGAAAGGTTTACAAAAAACTAAAAATTAACACTATACACTGAAAAAAAAAATGTTACGAGTGTAGTTCGAATTTCCTCGACAATACATCATATAGAAAAAAATACAGTATCCTTGACCCAAGCGCCTATGAGAAAACCATGGCCAGAAGCTTAGAAAATTTTATGAACAACGCTTGGCCTGCTTTCATCATAATCCACTTTGTTGATACACAAAGTATTGAAGGTGGAATGGGAAGAAAGAATGGATCCGCCAATCCATACAGAGTACTTCCTCTCCGGGGAAGACAGAACTTTGATTTCTGTATTGCTAGGAGCAAGAGCGGAAATTTCCTTCTGCATACGTTCGGCCATTCCTGGGAACATGGTAGATCCCCCAGAGAGAACGATGTTCGCGAACAGATCTCGTCTGATGTCTGCTTCACACTTCATGATGGCATTGTGCACCATTTTGTGGATACCATCTCCCTCTTTTCCCAAGGCCGAAGGCTGAAACAAAGCCTCAGGGCAGCGAAATCTTTCATCGCCCAAAGTAACAGCTTGCCCATCAGGAAGTTCATAGGTTTTCTCTGATTTAGTCTTCATTTCTTGCGCAAAGTCTAGAGCGACAAAGCAAAGACCTTCTTTGACATTGCGCATGATTTCAAACTCGATGGACGATGTAAAGGAATATCCACGTTTCTTAGATAGATTAGAAAGGTGACTTGTTAGCTCTCTGCCTGCCATATTCAAACGTAGTATTGCGTTGGGCACGACACGGCCATCGTAGATAGGCACTGCATGGGATACACATTCTCCGGAATCCATTACCACACCTCTAGTTTTACCATAGTGATGCAGGGACAACACAGCTTGATTGCCTATATGTATAGCTGGAGAGTTGAAGGTCTCAAACATAATTTGAGCCATTTTTTCGCGGTTGACTTTAACATTTATCGGAGCCTCAGATAGCAAAACTGGATGCTCTTTGGGTGAAACTCTCAGCTCATTTTGGAAAGTGTGATTCCAAATCAGTTCCATGTCGTCCCAATTTGTAATGATGCCATTCTCAATGGGACTCTCGACAGCGAGTAAACCTCTCTTCTGCTGCGCTTCTTGTCCGATAAAACTGTCCTTTTGACCTCTTGCAAACATTCTTGCCTGAAATTAAACGATACACTAAGTTTAAGCCAAATTTGCTTCGTTAACAAATGCAGCCAAAAAAAAAAATCAATGAATATTAATCATCGTTTGAAAAATTACTTTGAGCAATTTTTATGCCATATACTATAATTCAAATAAATTTCTTAGCTAATTTAATAAAAAATAATAAAATGAAATATTCAAACATAAACAAAAGCCAGGGAAACATCTCAGTCATATGAAGAAAAAAATATAAATATATTAATAGGAAAAAAAAATAAAGCTACAACAAACATATACAAATCTCAAAAATGTATATTTAGTTAGTTTTGCATTTACCAAAATGATTTAACATAAATTGCAATGTTCTCTTTAATTGATATATATATAAAATTTGTTTTGATATTTGGGTTTCCATGAAAATTTTTATTTGCAACAATCATTTCAAACAATAAATAAATCATCAAATTGAAGTAAAAGGTATAATTACAAGTTTTTCAGTAGGAAATTTTAGTATAAATATTAACATTTACTTTTTTGGGCAATAAACGATATTTCAATGCAATTCAAAAAATATCGTATTGCAATACGATTTTGTAATATCGATATATTGGCTACATGCTTAGATTAAGGAATTTTGTCATTAAATATAAAAATGGACTTATGAAAGGTTTGTTATTAAGCCAAACAGTAAGACATAAGTTGTTTTGTGGGAACATTTCAGAGCATAACCTAAATGAAATCAAGAATTTTTTTTCGGTGTTGGTTACTTATCATGGTTATGTACATTCTGCATGTAAATTAAAGTAAATATAGTAAGAAAATGTCATTTAAATTACATTGAAAATATTGCAATACATATCGCAATACAGTTAAAAATATCGCAATATATCGCAATACGAAATCTCAGGCCAATACCCAGCCCTAATACTTTTTAAAATATTAGATTTTTTTCAATATTGTTCAATTTATCAAATAAAAACAACAAGAATATTTTATTAATTATGGATAAATAAAACAAAATAAATGGCAATTTCTATTATCAAGTTTGAAAATTTTGAATATCTCTTTTGAAACCTTTTTTCATGAATATACATTACCCCATGCCTAGGTTTTCCCACAAGGCATGGAAAAATGTTCCTTGGGACATTATCTCCAGAAAACCCTGCTTTGATCGTATCCGATCCGTTATCAATTACGACAGTTGTACCGGGGGCAGCCATGTTTTGGAAGTAGCGCTTGCTCTATCGCGAATACTTGTGATGAAGGAATCACGTATTTTGAAGTTTTAAACTTACAACCCGGAAAAATAATACCGGTATTTATCTTAGCGATGTCATAAACTTAACGATTAAGCAATTTGAAATCAAATTAAATCAATTAATTATAATTAGTTAGATCAAATCCATAACGCTTTCATTTATCATTTAATGACATATATGTATAACTTTTTCAAACACCCTATACTGTACCTCTGTACCTATTTATGGACACAAATTACTAAGTTGCGTGTTATACGCAAAGCCACCCCTTATAAGGAGTTGGAGGATGAAAATATAAATGTTTTATGCCCCCGTGAACGAAGTTTCGGAGGTATATACTTTTTGTCGTGTCCGTCCGTCCGTCTGTCTGTTTCTCTCTCTCTGTCTGTCTTTCTGTTTGTCTGTTTGTCCGCAAAAACTTTTACCTTGCCCATAACTTTTGATTAAGTGGAGCTATGACTTTCATATTTCAAATGTGTATTTCTTGTGACAAGACCTTTCTTCGAGTACCACCAAGTTTGACCTTTTGACCTTGACCTTGGAGTTTGACCCACTTTTACACAAAAATACCAAACTTTTACTTTGGCCTTATCTTTTGAACAGTAGACACATGGATATTCATACTTCACACATGTATTTTTTTGTAGAAAGCTCTTTCATTGGATACCAACAACCTTGACCTTTGACCTTGACCTTGGAGATTTCCGTACTTATGAAAAAACTTTCACATTGGCTATAACTTTTGAACGGTAAGGGCTAGGGCTTTCATGCTTGATTTCACATACCTAATTCTTGTGAGAAGACCCTTCATTGGATACCAAGACCTTTGACCTTTTAACCTTGACCTTGGAATTTGACGTTCTTTTAAAAAGCAAACCTTGACCATAATTTTTAAAAGGTTATAGCTAGTGCTTACATACTTTACATATTTAATCCTTGTGACAAGACCTTACATTTGATAGCAAGACCATTGACCTTTTGATGTTGACCTTGGTGTTTAATCTCCTTCTAAAATTTTTAACTTTGGCCATAACTTTTGAAGGGTTAGGGCTAGGGCTTCCATACTTCCCATATGTTTTTGTGGCAAGACCTTTCATTGGATACCACTTACATGTACCTTGATGTTTTGACCTTGACCTTGGAGATTTCCGTACTTATGAAAAAAACTTTAACCTTGGCCTGCTTTCATATTTCACAATTTCCAGGGAGAATACCCTACTTTTGGTACCAATATATTAAATTTGCATTTTGAAAAGTTTAATCTTCGCTATGTTGCCATGCTGGGGCATCTGTGTTTTACAAACACATCTTGTGTTTTTAAAGAAACGGAGAAATAGTTTCTTGCGATTTCATGCATATGAAATTGATTGATATTTTGACAGAAAAAGAAAATTTAAATTCTTAAGATAAAAAGGAATTAGACAATGTTGAATTTCATATCCCAACGGGAAATTTTCATGACTCACATGTTTGATTACATTTCAAACCACGGAACTTTCAAGATAATTGCTTAAATTCGAATACAACAGGCAATTTAATTTCAACAAAATAATTTTGATGAATTTCAAATTTCAATTCCCAGTATTTTCAGTACTTTGATTATTATTTGTCACTGTGGAAGCTCTTGATTGATGAAATTAGGGAATTCGTAAAAATCTTTAAATATTTGTTGTAAATATATGAAACTGAAGTTGAGATAGTTTTAATAGTAATCTATTACATGTTACAGGTATGAGTAATAGCTATGTGTAGTAATTTTGTGTCATAATGTCTGTTGGTATTGTGTGCAATTTGTTATATTTTTTCTTTTATTTTGTTAATAATAAGCTGTTGGTCTGTGATTATATGTAGATAACTTATATATAAATTGTTTTTTTTGTAAATTGCATTGAAATATCAGAAACTTATTTTACTTGTTTCCTTGTTACAATGCACTTTGAAAAATTACGCACTCTGAAAAAGTTTTCAAAGTGCGTTAAATTTGAGACCAAGTTATTATTAGGTATATACACATGCACTAAATTGTTGACGGATTTTCCCGTTATATCCCGTTCATGACAAGGAGCACACGGCGGATGTGACCGGTCAATGAACATTCTATGAATCTCAGACACCTGACAGCTGACTTCGGACAGAGTTCCAATTCTTGGAGGAACTGTGTGTTATATCTTAATTTCTATATATGGTGTTGTACACTTCTTCTAAAACAATTTTGGATAAAAGAAACATCTAAAATATACGTTATGTTAAGTATTATAAAAACCTTTCAAACACTTTTTGAAATATTTTGACCGTGCTACCGGCCTTCATCAATCGTGTTTATTTGAATGCATAGTATATAAATATTTTTCTTTGAATCATCCAAAAATTTTCATCCATTAATATCTTTCAAAAACCCATGAAAATGCGTGCTGATTTTTTGTCTATGCACATCTGATGATACTACATTCTTAAAGGTGCATGGACACAGATCTGATGTTAGTTTTTTTCTGTATAATATCACGACTTATATATTTCAATAGCATTTCACACAAAAATATATTTAACTAGATACGATCTCGTTGCGAGCAACGAGTAGGTCTTCTGTTGAATTTCTTGATAAGATGAGATGTGATTTTGACTGAGATATTCGAGAAAAGAGAATGACATTGAGTTTTCCTTCATTAAATTTAAAGTTTCTGATTTATATCACAATATCTTGAACATCTTTTGTCAAATGTGGCTTATTAAAATACTCCCCCTTTTCGAGATGTAAAGCATCCAATATATATAGCATTTTGGCCCCTTGCGACTCCTTATTACGTAACATATGACCAAAATTTTATAACGCATTGTTGCAAATCGTTAAGATGAATAGTTTTGCCTCGGTAATGTATAACAAAATATTGTTCATTAAAGAGTTAAACTTTGACCATCTTTTGTTCAGCATTACTTATCAAAATATTCCCCTTTTTGATATATAAAGCGTCAAAGATTTGATATTCTGGCCCCTTGTGACCCTTATTTACGTAACATATGATCAAAATTTTATAATACGTTGTTGCAAATCGTTAAGATGAATACTTTTGCTTCAGTGATGTTTAGCAAAATATTGATCATTAGAGAGTTATAGATAAAAGACTTTTGGCCCCTCTGAGCCCCTAATTTGAGGGGTTAGCCCCTTTCTCTTGATATCAAATGAAAGGTCTCATTCTTTTAAAGATTTTTGGTTCAATACTTATTCAGAGATTTCTTTTCGTTGTGGAGATAAGCTAAATTGAAATATTTAGGGGCCATCGCTTTAAGTTCTTAATGGGGCCGTTTTACAAAAATTCAAAGTATGCATATTGTTTAGAACATTATTTTGACCATCTTTTGTTCAATATTGCTTATCAAAATATTCCCCCTTTTTGAGATATAAAGCGTCAAAAATTTGACATTCTGGCCCCATGTGACCCCTAATTACGTAACATATGATCAAAATTTTATAATATGTTGTTGCTAATCGTTAAGATGAATATTTTTGCCTTAGTAATGTTTTACAAAATATTGATCATTAGAGAGTTATAGATATAAGACTTTTGGCCCCTCTGAGCCCCTAATTTGAGGGGCTAGCCCCTTTTTCTTAATATTTACATGAAAGTTCTTAACATTTTGCACATTTTTTCTTCAATATGCTTTTACAAAATATGAACAGGTACGAAGATATGAAACAAAATGTGTCAAATTTTGTGAGATGTTTCTGAGACATTTTTTGGGCCCTACCGAGCTCTGGCGCCTTTTGTGCTAGAAAGATATAGACACCCGATTGCAACTCAGCAAACCTTCCTGTTTACTCACTAAAAATCTTAGGTCAATATCTTAAGTCGTTTTGGAGGAGTTTCCCGGACAAGCCGACCCTCTGAAAATCAGAAAATCGTCCATATCTCACGACCGGAAGTGACGTCATCAAAAAGCAAAAAAACCTATCAAGATCAATTAAATATCTTTAATGTCTGAAAGTTTTATGTTAATCGGATAAGCCATCTCTGAGAAATCGCTTGCACAAAATCGGTTGGAAGAAAAATAATAATAGGGAAAAAGAAACCGAACGAAAACAATGGAGACGGAAGACCCTAACTAGAGCCGAGCTCGTTGCAAAGCAACGAGTAGGTCTTCCGTGAGAGCTGCGGTCAGGGAGAAATGACCTTGAGTCAAGGTCATGCCACATTCTAATGTTAAAGCAATCTTTCAAAGGGAGATATCATCATATATTGTTTTACTATTAAAAATAAGATAGTAAAGGAATGTTTGTGACCTTGACCTTGTCAAAATGACCTTGCGTCACACCATGTCACACGCTGGTGATGAGCATATTTGTGTGCTACCGTATTGAAAATTCTGTAAGCTTCCTCAGCACCCTGTCAAATGCCAATCAGCTTACAGTGTTTCCTTCCCATGTAAATTCAATCAATTAAATTTTATCAGGACTACTCATGACATCCGTCCACATATAAAAAAATATCGCATGTATTTAAACACCCTTGATAATTTACTTTACATCCTTGTAAATCATAACCAAGTTCCATTTCTCGTTTTAAATATTTCATTTAATAAAGACTTCAAAGTTCAATGAAATATAACAAAACAGTCAGTACAGATCTATATGAGTATTAAGTCCTAGCTTTAAAACATCTCTGGCCTAATAAAATACAGTGGATTGCGGTGTCCGTGCGGTGGAGAAATTATACGCTACTTAATTTGTATTAATTTACATTATTTTCTCATACCTAAGTCGCTAGTAATTTACAGTCAGTGATGTTGATGACGTAATATGATCTGATCGTTATGATCGTTGTGCTGAAACTGGCGTTCGCTGCTCGTATATATAACCTTCTATAATGGTCACGTGATCACAACAAACCAATGAATAATTGTCCTTTCTGGAGCCTCTCAGAACTACATTACATACATATTATGTAATACAAAGAAAATAGCATCGCTCAAAATGTCCTTTCTACATGTAAAGTAGGAGCTATAAATTCTATTCGATGTACATAATAAAC